TATCATTTGGTGAAAGAAAAGATGTCACCGTTTTCAAAATCGATCGGGCGTTCACAGATAATTCTTTTTCACATGTGATACAAGACTGTCATAATCTGGTGCGACCCACACTTGCTTGTTGCTTCCACTGAGTTCTAGAAATTTCGTTAGAGCTTCTCTCTTTTCTCGTTTCTGCGTACGATGTATCCGTTCTTCCTCTTCGTCATGCACGTGTGCAGAGGCTTCTTCGGGCGCAAATTCGTCCTCGTTACTACAGCTTCCAGATGATTCGTCGATGTGCGGTATTGCACCTTTCCGTCGCTTATAATCAGCACCATCGATTTTCTATGAAAAATGTGTTTTCGTTTATTAGAAATAAATTTTTTGGAAAAAACTGTCGTAGTGGAAGCGATTGTAGCGAATTTTTCAGCATGACGTCCAGGTCTTTGGACAAAGTTTCACGGTTCATTTTGTAGAGAATTGATAACTCCACAAGATGTCATCAAGTCTAAACTGCGACCACCTAACGGTCGAGAGCTAATTAGGTTTTACGCAAAGAATTTCACTTTTCAGAATCATGACTTTTCGCTTCCTGTGAATTATAAAAGTTCAGTTTAACGTCTGGAAAATGAAAACATTAAAAGTGTTAATGTTCTGAACTAACTTAATTTTAGTGTAACTTAATTCGTCAAACGGAAACTTCGAAAACATCCAGTACGGATAAAATGAACAGGTTTTTCATTCAACTCCTTTCAAAACGGTGTCTTAGCCTCGTGGATTACATAAGGATTACTTTTTGACAATCCTTCGAAATGAATGGAAAAATCGACTTTCCAGCATTTTCAAAACTTGTCTAATATGTGGGTTATTGCCAAAATATATCATAACCACTTCAACTGCAGTAGAAGACTACTTCAAGCTAGATGATCTGCTTGATAGAATCGAAGGCTACTACTAGTTAGAAAGTGATTAGACCAGTTCGCAGTGGTGAATTTCAACCCATGTCACGCAGTTTCCACTTAAGTAGCTAAAAGTAAGCACTAACGAGTACCATCTGCCCTTAAACCTACAGAGACCAGTTTTGTGAAAAACTAGTTTTTTAAAAACTCTTAAAAATAACTCGAACCTTATTTCTTAATAAGGCATGACTGTAGTCCGAAAATAATGCAGATTCTAAAAGCTGGCTTCCTCTTCCATAAAATAAAGAATAACAGAAAGTTCAAATTACATTACATAGATAGGGAGTAGCGAGGAACGAGCTCGAGACATGTATGTNTACCATCTGCCCTTAAACCTACAGAGACCAGTTTTGTGAAAAACTAGTTTTTTAAAAACTCTTAAAAATAACTCGAACCTTATTTCTTAATAAGGCATGACTGTAGTCCGAAAATAATGCAGATTCTAAAAGCTGGCTTCCTCTTCCATAAAATAAAGAATAACAGAAAGTTCAAATTACATTACATAGATAGGGAGTAGCGAGGAACGAGCTCGAGACATGTATGTTTCGGAATTTGTGGACTAGTGCGTATTTTTTCGATTTTTCGCTATTTTCTCAAAAATCTCTTTTCGTTTCTGAGAGAATAAATACTTCGTATCTCAATGTGTAAGATTATTCTGGCATCGGAGAACTCGTTCCTCTCTACTCTCTGTCTATGTAATATTTGATCTTTCTACTAGAATCAATCGATTCTGAGCACAACAAGTAAGCAAATAAAAATTGACCAAATCCTTTTCTTAGCCGGATTCATCCTTTATACTACACCAATTGATTGACGAATGAACATCGTCAGATAATCTGTAGCGAAAAAACCAAATGTAACCGTGTACAGAAAAACTTATTGAAATCCGGCTTATTGGCTATGGCAAGCTTCGGGTATGTCCAGAAGTGTTTGAAAACCAGAAAACAAGAGCTAACCGTTTTTGATGGATCATCCATGATGCATACGAATAGAGATAGTCTCTTTTTTCAATTAAGCATTACCATCAACTTGCTTCTCTGTTGCTACTAGTAATTCGGGTCCTATCGCTTTATTTCGTTTCAAAATGTTAGGTTAACATAATGACTCTTTTGGAGTTTTTTAGCGGAGAAATGATTATAGCCGATTATATCTTAAAATTTGAGCAATTTTTCGATTCTTTTAAAATTTGCTATCCGATATGACTCATATTGACATGTACAATGGAAACGTGAAGAATTCGAACCTAGTGCGTTAAAAAAATATTGAACACTTTCGATTTAAGTTTTTCTTGAATCGGAATGAAAGCGAAAATATGAATTCCCATTTTCAATCACCCTGAAATTTTAAACGATCAAAGCACAAAATCAACCCTTGCAAAAAGCTAGAACCGAACACACGAACTGGATCTCTGTAGGTCAAATGGAAAAATCAGCTTTGCACTTAAAACTTATATAAATGATATTCTGGTCAATTTTTCTAATTTTTATTTCGAAGGTCTCCAAGGTCTCCCGAAGAGATCGAATATTTTTTTAATTTTTAGTGTGTTTGTTTGTGAAATAATCTGACGCTTGCTCATATCAGTCTAAATGGATCATAAAGGAAGAAATAACATTGAAAAACCACCAGTGGGAAGTATTTTATCAAAATTTCCTTGAGATGAACCAGTACTCTTGAATGTCTCAACTTAAAAGAGGACACGGAGAACGTGTAATTTGGCGGAAAGCAGGCGATCTAGAATCCTTAGTGCCCAAAAACTTTTGTTGACCCCAACGTTCGATACAAAAGGCATTCTAGTATGACCACTGTTTTAGCCCATCATTGTGGTTTTTGTTCTTTACTGGAAAAATGACGTTGTTTCAAGAGAAAATGTCAAATTTCATATGAAACTCCCCCTGAATACCTGATCAGAGTTAAGTGGTTGTCAAAGTGGGGGCTTTGATCTGGTCATCCGTAATGGATGACCCTTANTTAGTGCCCAAAAACTTTTGTTGACCCCAACGTTCGATACAAAAGGCATTCTAGTATGACCACTGTTTTAGCCCATCATTGTGGTTTTTGTTCTTTACTGGAAAAATGACGTTGTTTCAAGAGAAAATGTCAAATTTCATATGAAACTCCCCCTGAATACCTGATCAGAGTTAAGTGGTTGTCAAAGTGGGGGCTTTGATCTGGTCATCCGTAATGGATGACCCTTATGTCTCAAGAAGAATTTTTTGAAACAAGACTGGAACAAAACGTAGGCGGTTTCATGACAATTAATTTTTTCATGTCGGCTAGCATCAACGAAAATGTTGCTTTAATATTTGCAAAAGCTTGTGAAGATCCGTCAGATGAATCACTTTTATCAGTTTTATTTCAAATCACAATTGATTCTAGAATACGTTCACAAGAATGCCCTTTTGCCAGCGTTGAAAACAGAAGGAAATTTTAATTTCAGTCGGCTCGATTTTTCGAGTAAAAGAACTAAAAATATTGCCTGATGGCATGTGGCGTGTCCATTTGATATTCACTGGATCTGAAGATCAACAACTGGAGGCAGTGACAAATCTAATCAGAACAGAAGTTGAATCGCCTAAGGAAATGATTCGTTTAGCAAAATTGATCATACAAATGGGTGAATATGAAATCACATATGAAGAAACGAACACCAGAAAGCACTTAAAAATTTTTCTAAATCTTAGAAAAATATGTACCGAGTGGTACTGCAACGTTTGCAACACGATACAATAACATTCGTTCGATTTAGGGATTATCTGTCAAGGACATCTGTAGGTAAAAGCAATTTCCGGCCCTAGACCTTCAAACAAATTCTTTTAAAAGCTAGCTTCTGAGAAATTAAGGCAGATCAATCCAGAGATGTGATCGGTCAACAAAATTGTGACCGGTATTTGGCCGGTTGATTGGCAATTTTTCTAAGAATTTTAAACGGTTAGCGACCAATACGCAAGTTTTCCAACGATTCTTCTGAGATGGTAATTGCTGCTATAAGAATAGTGTTTTTGTGTTCTGTCCGCTATTGAAAGAATATAAATTCTCTTTATGATGTGATGTGGTCGTGCACCCTTACGATTGTTCCACCGAATAGAAACTTTTAGAGAGAGAACCATTGTTTAGCAAAATTATTCTTTCCTCTATCTTCGTACGTGACACGACAGTACCGCGAACGACAGTACCGCAAACGACATTACCGCGAAAACAAAAAGCGACACTCATTTATTGGAAAAGAAGAATAAGTGAGCCTGGTTTTGTGTTTTGTATATCATGTTTTCAAACCTGGGCGAAGTTATGTAGTTAATAGTCATGATGTGATACAATTACAGATATCCAGTTTCATTGCTTATCATGTTTGACCGATTTTCTCTTCGGCACACGATAAACTGAAGCTCACTATTCATAGCAGTGTGAAACCCGTGACACGACCTTTCTGCGAACAGGATCCCGACTCTTCCACGAATTTTACTATAGTACACATTTTGATATTTTGCAGTGTTCGCAGGAGGCGGGGTCGGGCATTGTGAGAGTGAGTTCGAAAAGTAGTTTCACGGAAAACATATTTTCTTGATGCGAAGCTAGATATCTGTGACTGTATCCGATAAGGACTAGTCACCACATAACTTCAGTTAAGTTTGAAATCTTTTTCAATAAACAAGTCTTCGCGGTAATGTCGTTTTTTGTATTCGCGGTAGTGTCGTTCTCGGTAATGTCCCTGTATCATCTTTGTTTGTATCCTCTATATGTCAGAATAGTACAAGAACATCAGAATGACTGATAATACACTATTCGACTTAACGATTTTAATACTTTAGGATCGATTCTAATATTGAAGTTTTTTGTTTGCACGAGAGAAAAATGACATCACTTATATAACAGACAGCAGTCAATATATCTACGCAGTATGTATATACGCAAAAAATATGACGATTTAAAGCAGAGAATGAATACAATTATTTTCTTTTTTTGGCCATTGTAAAATGCTACTACATATATTTTTTAATTACAGACTAACTGAACTCGGTACAGCTATGTGATCGGCATCGAACTTGGTCAGATTGAGCCGTCCGGATGATAAGTCTCAACCGAAAGCGGAACGGAATTGGTTGCGCGGTTCGGTTACATCTCTGGGTCAATCCATGGTCAATACTAAAATAAACTGTCGACACTAGAGTTCAAATTTAGCTTCTTGAGTTTATATAAACGATATTGGGCACAGAAATGTTTCCTCAGAAGAGTCCTACTCATGCAAATCCGTTAATCGAAAAAGCTATCTGCGTGATTCGACACTAAAATAAAATTGACCTACAATTGTACAAAATAGTGGCAATACAATACAGTATTCATTATTTCACATTTCTTTGCTCATATTTCTCTATTCTAAAATACCTTTTGTCAAAAATAAATTCCAGATTTTGGATCTCTACAGATTAGAAGAAAAAGCACTGGAATGATCTGTCAAGAGCAATATTGAAAAATTATAATACAACGTTACAAATTAAGGGACAATCAAATTTGAAAATGAGATTCAAGTATATTTTGTATCGTCAAATTTTAATAAAATAAAAACTATTAGAATTGAAAGAATTACATTCGAAATTATTTATGCCACATTTTTGTTGAAATATGATTCTTTCTCTAATAATTACATTTTGAAAAATGAGGGATTTGGAAACTAATATGGCAATAGACTTTTTTAAATATAATACAAATATCGAATAAAATTCCTGGTAAATTAAATCTCAAATCAACTGGTTCACAATTTCTTCGCCAACAACAGTATCCTATGGAGTTTATTTGTAGAAAATATTGGAAATACAGATTTAAAAACACCCATATTATACGTTTCGACTCGTGAAAATGCTAGTTTAAGATTAATTAACGATTATCATGATATGTATGAGAAAGACTACATGTTTATTGCATTACCTGATGAATCATTATTAGATATAATGTTGCCTAAGACATATTCGCAATTTGACTTTGAAATTAAACCAAATCCATTATTTTTAGGACAATCTTATATAGAAGTGAACATCATCTCATTATTAACAGCTGACATTTTAATAGAAAATCTTAAAAATAATTCAAAACCATTGAATGTTGATAGTAAAGTTTGAAATATTGTATGGAAAAATCGAGAGACAACTTTTGATACAAATTTTCATGAAAATATGATTAAATTAGCAAAATTTTTTGCCGATAAGAAAAAAAAAGTTTATTCACTACATGATCTATCTATGTATCAAATAAACTATGCTAATAATTTTATTACTGGTAAATGTTTAATAAGTTTTAGTGATATTAATCAAATTGAATTGAATACGGATATGAATATTCAGATTATTCTCTATTATTCACCTGTAACCACTAAACGACGTATCCAAGGTATTTTTGGTTATGGATGGTTTGATTCTATCTTGGACACAATAATTGTAGAAATCAATTCAAAAAAATTAATATTCTTTCGTAGTAAAGAAGAAATAAGTCTTGCAAGTATAGATGGTCGCTATTATGAAAATAAATTGTTTACTAGAAATTTAACATCAAAATTTTCGGTAGATATATATGATCAACTTTTCTATGTAAATTATAAATTTGATAGTATAATCTTACGATTAATCGAAATTCAAAGTCAATATAGTGAACTTTTATCCAAAGACAACTCAAATAAGGAAATATCGTTATATTACTTAATCAATTTTTCGTCAATTTTCAGTCCGCTCAGTTAAATGTCGTTGAAAAGTTTTTCCTCGAAAATTAGAAATTTTATACATTATTCAATGCAATTTAGTGCGTTGACTTAAAATATTACCTTATTTGTGAATAAAAGTGCTCCAGAGCCGAAAAAAATGGCAAACACCTGAAAAATCCTGTTTTTTTAGAAAACCTATTGTATGGTCCAGGAATATTTATGCTAATGTATAGTGATAGCGGGCATATCGGAGAACATTCTGTGTGTTTCCAAAAAATCTGAGAAAATTTTTTTCTAAATTCTGAGAAGAAATTTTTCGATATTCCAAGGGGATCATAGGGGCAAAACATTTTCGAAAAAATCGAAAGCAAATTCTCGAGTGAATCAAATACGTCATTTTATTCTGAATTTCATTCCGAATATATAATTCTTTTCCAGAAATATTGATGGATGCAAAATGACCTTATCCGCTTCCGTCCTTTGGCGAAAAGTTGAGGACATTAATATTGAATGTTCTGAAACATTCTTCCATTACTAACGGTAAACCATTTAACTTAATAATCAGCATAAATTCATCACTAAAAAATTTTAACTTGACAATTAGTACTTCTGGATTTCCCGATGGTACTTAATTGAAGTTCATCCGCCATTTTAAAATATTTTGGATTAGAACTAATAGAAGAACAAAGCTTCTAACTATATATTGCCAACCGCTGGAAAATAGCCCGATTTGCTATGGAACCGGTGGCAAATATTTCATTTTTTGTTGTAATTAATAAAGATTGTATTGATGATGCCAAACAATTGCTCATATAAATCGATTTTGAAGCCAACACACCTGATCACGATAGTTCTGAAAATATCGCATTTGAAATACATATCCAAGCAGAAATAAAATATCGACGATCGGGCGATTTAGCTAGCTAACTGAATATATTATTCGACATATCGACCATCAGATTACTCACCTTTTTGTTTTGCAGCCACTGTACTATATATGTAAAACATATACTTCAGAAACTTACAAAGTATTTATTCATATCAAGTCAATATATTAAGCAATAAGAGGCCGATATATTGAGGAAAATTGCTTTCAACATCCCAGGATGCAATGTAGGCAACATCCTTCATGCTGTCAGTACGTGAGTCAATATATCGGGCAATAATTGGTCAAAATTACACTTGAGCTACGTTTATTTTCAGTTTTTCTCCTCCAAGATAATGGCTGCAACAAATCTGAGGAAATATTTGAATAGCTCAAGGAGTTTCCAGTCTGCTCTATGCCAAATAAAGATTTTACTACAGTTTCTAGGACCCAGCATAGTTGGCATCCAGGCGGAAATTAGGTGAAAAATCGAAGTTGCTCCTAATTCAAATACAAATAGTGGAAAATGTAGCCCTTTCAAAGGGCTATCGAATGGTATATAACTGTCTATTTTGAAAATGGTTCCTACGACGAGAAATCATGGTACACAAAACCGATTACGGATATCGTTACTACATACGAAATAAAGATTCTTTGCTTACTCAATTATGGTACGCGATTTCAAAGCAGATATTCAGAACCAGCACGTCTTCAGCTATCTATTGATAACAAAATATTTCTATTTCGTAATAAGTAAGAGCGACATGTTCTCCATCACGTCAGTCCGTAGTAACAGTACTTCAGTATAGTCGGGGCGCCCTAGTTAGCCTCACGCGAAAATAACATTCAAACACATCAAAATGTTCCTCCAACGCTACTCTGTGTATTCTAAAATCGCAAAATCTCGCATATTTTTCAAGGAGGTTTTATGAATTTTCCAAAATTCTAAGGGGTTTTCGCGTATTTCACATTTTTTTTCTCTCATCAAAGCACTTTTTCGTACAAATAATGCCATATTCGGAATCACCGTGAAAAACTGCATCGAAGGGTATATAATTCATCTGGATTCGGTGCATCGGTTCTCAATTCTATAAATTTCTTAGATTTGGGACTCACAGCAAGAACTTTCCGCTGAAAATTCAAAATTCAAGAAAGAAATTCTGGAAGGTCTGAAAAAAATGCTTCTATAGGTTATCGACGATGCTCTATCCAATGGAATGATTTTTCAGTTTAAAAACGTTTTTCAAAGGGTTTTCCACAAATCCGATTTCTGGAAAATGCACTGGAATACTTTGTCAAAACTGGAAAATCATTCCATTGGAAAGAGAATCGTCGAAAACCTATAGAAAGTGGTTCAGATAATTTCAGTCCACTTATAAAGTTATTGTCCGCCTGCTCCAGCGAAAAATGCCCACCGTACCCAGGTCTCTAGAAAACCCAAACCCTAGAAACTAAGTCCACGAATTCGAATGAAACCTTTTCTGTAACAGCCTCACCGTGTACAGAAAAGGTTTCTGAGCAAATTCTGACCTCTATGAACTTTCTACAGGACTGTTTCATCAACGGCATTTAGTTTAAGAAAGACCCCATGTCACAAAATTAATGGCAAAAGACGAAAAATACGTCTTTCGTTTTTTTCACCCACTTTTTAAACACATTCACGAAAACAAACTTTTAAAGCGATATTGTATAGCTCATTTTGTAGCTCTTGAAATCCTCTACTGAACGGGGTATAATAGCTGAAAGAGGTGTAATAACGAAAATACTTTGAGTAAAGGTCATTTAACGATGGAAGAGTTTTTTTTCGAAAATGCTGCCAGGGGCGCTGAGAAGGATTTTTAAGGTGTATAAATATGTTAGGATTCATCACGGACAAAAACTGCATCAGATCGGTTAAGACAAGACTGATTTGTGTGGAGGTCGATTTTGGCTCTTATCGTTCCCTGTCCTGTGTGTCACTTTTTTAAAATATTCAAATAATACTAATAAATGCATCCAAAACTTTGCTCACGAGGGAACCGCCCCAGGTGTCCGGCTCCGATTTCGTTCGTTCATACATCATTCGATAGAGGACCTCGAGTAGGCTAAAAGGATTTGGGCGGAGGGCCCTTTAAGACCCGGTTTTCTGGAAAACCAGTTTTTCAGAAACTCTAAAAAGATAACCAGCACCTTTCTTAATGAGGCAAAGTTGTAGCCCGCGGAATTCTG